GCTAGTACTTGCCAGTCAAAGCCTCAAGTGAACAATGCTGCTTACTGAAGGGGTTGTGTCAAAATAGCCCCCTCCCTACCCCACTAGTTTTACCCCCAAGCCTGATCCACCCTTTAAGTGTTAGGGCAGTCCAAGGGCTATCCAGCTGTACCGACCAAGACGGCAAGCCCCCTACTTTTTTGGACACTGCAGTGGCCTGGGGCCTAGTACGGATTGTCGCGAAGCTCACGCGGTAGAGCGTTCCATAACTTTGGTGCAGCCACCTGGAAGGACCTATCGCCTAGTGTGACCTCCGTTCTTAACGTTGGCGATGCTAGAAAAATCTGACCAGACGATCTGAGGTTATATGCACCTTGTGATTTCCAAGAAACTAAGTTCTGAATGTATGTAGGCTCTATGGCATGGGTTGCTTTGAATGCAAATAGCAAAATCTTAAAATGAATGCGCTACTTTAACGGAAGCCAGTGTAGCTCATACCTCAATAATAATAATAATAATAATAATAATAATAATAATTTGACTTTTTTTTATTGAGGGTAGCACTTAAAATCTCCCGATAATCTACACATGGCCCTCAGAAAAAAAATAATGAAATATAATATAATGAAAGACGCGATAATCAATCAAAAAGTTAAACTGCTAAGGAAATCTGTTCCACAAGCTTACAGCACTGAACATAAATGACTACTGTCCGTATGATTGTTTAATTCTGGGCAACTTCAAATTTCTTTTGCTCAGTTTCTTGTTTCCCTGACATGGACTGCGCTGAATCTTAAAACTTCTCTGCAATGTAGCTGGGCAGCAGACCATTTAATGCCTTAAAAACCATTTTTGCCTTTAGTTTTACCACTCGCTCTTGAAGGTCGTGGGTCCTCCTCCAAAGTCGATGCCACTTCCATGACATTATGGCCTGCTACAACTTGTGTGGTATCGTCGGGATAGATGTACATGCTCTTGTTGGTTACATTTAAAGGTAGATCATTAACGAAAACTGATGAACAACAGCTGACTCAGAATTGAGCCTTGTGGAACGCCTGATGTTATGGGAAGGGAGCTTGATATTACACCATTGATGGAAACTTTCTGTAGTCGCCCTTCAAGATAGGACTTGAACCACTGTATCGACTCCTCTGATAGATGGCAAGCCGCAAGCTTCCTTAGCAAGACCCCATGGTCAACGAGGTCAAAAGTTTTACGAAAATTGATTAATGATAGTCCTGTCAAAAGACCATTGTCCATGTTCATTAACAGCCCTTCCACAAGCTCAATGATGGCAGTTTTGCAAGAGTAAAACGGTCTGAAACCTGTCTGGTATTTGAATAGCGGGACATACTGGTTTAGATACTCGTACAATGCGAGATAAACATGTCGCTCGAATATCTTAGACATCACAGGCAGAATGCTGATGGGTTTGTAGTTGCCAACATTAAGATGATCGCCCACCTTGAACACGGGCATAACTTTTGCAAGTTTTCATGAAGTAGGGAAGACTCTCTTTGAGATACATAGGTTTATAATTTTGGCAAGTGGTTCTGTTATCCCTGGAGCAGCTACCCGTAACAGACATGCACGTCCCATCCGGTCCGGGGGCTTTTGTAGGAAGAAGAGGAGACAGGTGTTTGAATACAGAAGAATGTGATATCTCGGGAATATCAAAAGTATAGCGCTGGAGTTTTTTCACGTACAAACTCTTTAAGTGAGGTTAGTTGTAAGTCAACGTCATTTGACGATTGATATTTCGAGGCAACAGTGTCAAAGAACTTGTTGATGGCGTTGGCGATATTAACGGGGTTGTGCGTGATATAATCTCCTTTTCGTATTGCTACTATAGAAGGCTTTCAGTGGAACCCATAGCGTTCTTAAGTTCCTTGAGTGTCGGCTATTTTGAAAGGGAATCGTGGAAAAAGCTGCTTTTGGCTCGTCTGATAGATCTAAACGTTTTATTGTGTTGTACTCTGTACTCCTTCCACACATCAGGAGTATCTAATTGACCCTAATTCACGAGCCTTTTTCAAAAGCCTATCCCGATGAACAATATCATCACTCCGGGATATATCCACTTCTGGATATATGATGACGTCACCGATAATTGCATCTTGGACCTTCAAACAAAAATCAGTATTCGCAACGCTTTTGCGCCGCTATTATTTTGGTCCCTTTTATTTATCCCATAAGACCACCCGTTAGTTGTAAAAGAACATCAGAGGAACATGTGAAGCAAAAGAAAGAGGGAATGTGTCACTGCAACGCAGAGAAAAATCTTCCTAAAGTGAATTCAACGGTTGTTTTTTTATGCATTCTGAGTGAGTCTGTTAGTTTTGAAACGCTCTTTTGTTCATTTGTCTAAGAATATTTTTTCGTTGCTTTAATAAGACAGTTTTATTTTTTGGTTATAGAACTTGATTATATCAATCTTTCTAGAAACATTTCGTAGGTTTTCACGCTTATGTCATGGTGCGGTACTTTCCACTAGGAAACGCGTAAAGCGTAGGTACAGTTTTACTAAGTTAACACCTCAGGCATAATACACGTATACTCTATTATAAAAGAGGCAACGCAATACTAGAAATTATAAGTTATCCCGCTATCATTGGAGTTGCTATCAGAAGATATTTTGCTGCTGCTAGAGTGCTTTTTTTTGCTACTTTTGGTGCGAGTCGTCGACCAAAGTAAGTCTTTTAGTTTCTTATAGTTATTTAGTACTGTAATTCGTGGAACTACCTTATTAAAGGAAATTAACGCTCCATGAAATTAACGCGAATCTTTAAAATTCGCGTTAATTTTTTTGAGCGATAATTTCCGCGACGTTAATTAAGTGCAGCGTTAATTTCCACGCTCTTAATTTCCAGTATCTTAACCCCAATTTTGGAACCTGTCCAGACATTCTTGACACCTAAAAAACATTAACTACAAGCTTTCTTTCTTTCCATTTACCCTTTATTTTTCATCTTTCACAAAAGCTAGGGCGAAGGTTTACAATATTTCGAGTTCATCTTCATCGTTGTCGCTATCAGAAGTGATGTCAATATCTTCTCCTTTGATTTCGCGTAATTAATCGCGTTAATTTCCTTTACTATGAAATTCTACCTCCTCTTTCGCGTTAATTTTCTTTATTCGAAAGTCGTTTTCCATTAAATTCGCGTTTATTTAAGTCGCGTTAATTTCCAATACCTTAGTTTCATGGAGCGTTAATTTCCTATAATAAGGTATCAAGTCTTTACGCTATCTTATGAGGAGGACATTGATTTGAAGACAAACCTGCTGGAATCAAACAGGATTGATTATTGTTACTGTTACCAAAGTATTTTAAATAATCTAGTTTAGTGTTTTTTAGATAAGTTCTGTTCGAGCCGAATCGCTACGATATAGTTTTTTGACTGTTTTATTCATGCTGAGAGTTAAATGTTATTGTCTCGGTTAATTAGCTCAAGTATCAATTATCGGATTTTTCAGTTGTCTGTTTCTTGCATCATAGTTTTATGTCGTTTAGATTATTCTACCTTTAGTCTTAATTTATGGTTAATCTAAGTAGTTCGTATTCTTTAGTTATCGCTTTCAGTTCGAACCTACGTCTAGCTACGTTTAGCTGCGTCTACGTCTGCTATCACTTTGTCTACTATGTGTATTATATTACTGCGATCTGTTACGTCGTAACTAAGCTACAAACATTGCTATTGCATTGAATTGTTGTACACGCGACTACTATTGTAATGAGCTCTAAGAATATCAGCTTTGATATTCTATCACGTGGAGTTCCAATCATCTATCGCCTCGCACCGTGCTACCCCTGTTTTTGTTGAGATTTGGATTATTCGCGACTTCCAGAATTTCGGCAATTACAGAGTCGTCTTTGAAATCTTGCAAATTTCAGGTATGTAATAATTTTTTCTTGTTTTGGAAAAATTACTCCGAGATACTAGAGTAAATTTGCTTGTTGTATATTCAAACAAAATCCTTATGCACCATACTTTAGTTCATATGCACGGCCTTTGAAAATCTGTGAAGTGTGTAAACACTGGTTCACTGTGTATGTGAGCGTTTCGTGGATCGTTTTCTAAAGTGATCCTTGGTTTCGTTTAATTTGGAATTGTTCGTGTTGCAAGGCGTTGCAAATTTTTATTAGTTCTTAAATCCAAAATCCGTGGATTACACTGTGAAGGATTCTAAACTTTAACTGAGCGAATGAGTCTTATCTTTGCTGTTGTTTGGGTCACATTTTAATAGAGGTCATTTCCTGTGCTCTCCGTAATTGTTTCGTCCGTGAATGTGATGATTCCCTGCTCTACTTGGTCACGCGTTCTTGTAGGATGTTGAATTCTCACTGTTAGCGATTTACATATCCGAATTTACACGTTATAAAAAGGGGTCTGTAGGCCTAAAACGACCTTTTCCTCATGATGTAAAATATCGCTTGTTCCGATCAATTTCTTTCTAGCAGGTAGATTATGCTGTAGAGCAAATTTAATTTTTGCGGCTGGTCTCACGTTGAGAGGTCATGAAGCTCACCTGTTTCAGGCATAATGATTAATTATTTCGTGTCATTTTTGTTTCTTTATACAGGATTTATCTATGTTACGATGCAGTTTAAGAATTTTCTTTGGCTTCGTTTCAAGGATCACGACGTTTATGTGATGAATTTGTACTGGAAAGAATCCGCTCCACTCTTCCAGAGTGCAAGAGCGTTTGCAAATTATTTTATTTATGCTATCTTTCCGTGCAGTGATTTTTGTTTCGGCCGATAGCCGCATTGCAAGTGGCCGTAATCAAAAATTTGTTTCACTTTTACTCATCTCCAGTAGCTCTCGGCCAAATTTACTTTGTCTTGGTTTTGATCTCAACCAATCACAACGCACGATACCTATATTCAGGAATGGATGTCTCCCAGACTGATTATTGAGTATGACAGGTGTCATCCATGTTGGTTGCCCTTGCCTTTTGACTCTCTTTGTCAACGGTGGAACATGATCGTCAGCAGCATCCAAAAATGTGCGATTGAAAAACTAAATTGCGTCATCCGGATCATCATGCATGTCTAATACATTCCATAGCGCTTTTTCTAGGTCGTCCTGGAAAGCCTGCTCACTGAAGTTCTTCCATTTACGGTACTTGATGGTCTTTTCGATGTTTTGAATTGACCTCTTCCGATATTTCCTCACAATGCCTACTGGCAGATGATCTGACATACCAATATTGAGCACCTTGGTCATTAGGATATGTTGAGGTCGATCGGTGTACACATGATCCAAGCAGGTTCTGTTGGTTGGGCGAGCTATTTCCTTAATAAGCTGGTTCAGTCCAAGGCTGGAGTTATATCTTCGAAGACGGTGATTAACGTGGTCGTCATTCAATGCGTTTATGTTTATGTCTCCGAAGAGTAGTATCTCCTTGTCAGTATTGTACAGTTGATCGAGGGTATTCTCCAACTGCTGGTCCATATCCGCAGACGATTCTAGACGATATACCCCAACAAGAAAGAGTGGACAATAGGACTTACAGGGCGCGATCTTTACGCAAAGAAGTTATAGATCACTCGACTCATAACGTGATGCCCGGCAATAAGTAATATGACTCGATATGTACATCAACACTCCACCAGCGACCTTCCCGTTCTTGTCTTTGCGTTCGATTTTGTCCCCGGGGATGTAAATCTGAGAATCAGCCACTGTATCATCTAACCACCACTCTGTGATGATGAGAACATCTAATTCAGACTCATCGTTCTCTACAAGAGTGCGTATTTCCTCATACTTAGTATTGTTGAGACTCCTAACATTTCAATGGAAAACTCTAAGGCCTTTGTTCGAAAGAGAGATGCTATGTGGCGAATGCGCATCCATTGGTCCAGGGTTAAGCTGAACGTCATTTGGCATTTGGATCAAGGGCAAAGAAAGGAATGTTAGTTGCACTAGGATCAAACCAACGCGTGCGAAGAAGGGTTGAAGGTAAACAAGAATGTTTAGGAGGCTTTAATGGACGACCAAGTGAGACCAAGTGAACCCTACTTTGATTTTCAAAGGAGTAGAACGTCAAAGGTAGGGTATTTTGAGGCCGGTAGATGCTCTGGACTATCGTCTATATAAAAAACGTCAAATAAAAGTGTTTAATGAGTGTTGGATCCATGATTTCGGATACTTTTATGAAGCAAAGAGATCCAAGTCGATCTCATTGGTGTAATATGGCTGAAGCGCGGGGCGCAGTATAAAGAATCCTTGTTGCACTGTTTAAAACACGCTGAACCTTGTTAAGCTGCGAGGCAGGTAGACCATACAAAAGGCTATTGCAGTAGTCAACGCGAGAATTATAAGTGGCGAATGCATGCACTAAGTCTTAGTTTCCTCAGGGCTTAGGAACTTGAGAATACGACTGATGTTATGTAGATGAAAGAAAGCTGAGCTACAGAGTTTGCTAATATTAGTAGACATACTGGGCGCTTTCCATTCAGATAAAAAATTAGGAAATTTCGGTGGGAACAAAAATGGATTTTCCGATAGGTAAAAAGTGGTTCCATTTGATTGTAAATCTCGGCACGGCGCCGAGCCCGTTATCCGACGGGTCACCAAGATGGCTGCCGAGTTAGTAACAATTGGAACTGGTATGAAATACGAAAAACTTGTAAATGGAACACGAATTTCCGTTAGGAACCTTCCAGCCGGGAAAACGGGCCTACCTTTTTAGATTTTCCATTTTTTCCGGGAATTTTCCAGTGGGACGAACCGACGAAACGTTTTCTATTTACTGCCGAACCGAAATCTCCGGAAATTTTTTACTAAATCATGGAAAGCGCCCACTAAGTTGAGAATCAAATCCGGAACCCAGGTTCCTGACAACTGGCTTTGTGTTCATAACAGATTCACCAACAGTATTAAATACTACTAATGTCAACCTTAACTACCTGCTGCCTGGTACCGAGGAGCACGCTTGGCAAATGTCGACCCACTCTCTGGAATAGCTGGCTAATATATACTTTCAACAGAAGCGGACCAAGGCAAGACCCTTGCGACACCCCTTGCGAGAGCGGAAAGGTATCTGACAGTCCTCCATTAACTGCAAAACGCTGTGTACGGTAGGAGAGTAAGATGTAAATCAGTTGGGTGCCTGGTCAGTCACGCCAAGTCTTGACCTCAAACGATCCAGCAAGATGTCCGTGGCGTACAGTATCAAAAGCTGCGTTGAGATCTAAGATAAACAACAAGGTCACTTTCTACGCATCCATATTCCATAAAATATCGTTCTTCACTTTTAAAAGTGCTGACTTAGTACTATGGTGTTTCTTGTCGGTTGACTGGAGCTGCTCTTCCTGATAACTTAAAGACATATGAGAGATTGATCACTGGGCGAAAATTTATGTACGCGATGTCTATACCACACTTCTTCAACGTAGGTGATACGAGGGCCTGCCGCCATTTCTCTGCGAACAGACCAGATTCAAACGACATGTTGTTCATACAGGTGATTACCGGTAACAGCACATCAAGAACCTGTAGAGTCACAGATGTAGGTGCAGGATCGAAAGGACAAGATTTCACGCCTGCGTTTCTAGTACTCCAACAAACTCGGTCTTGTGTCAAGGTCTTGAAGTTTGGGAACTCTGCACATTCGCGCAGATCAGGGACAACACAGTCTGCGCATGCACCCATGTTATCTGCAGAAGCATTGTCATCGCCGTCAAGAGGCTCAGATGACTGAGTACCGTTCAGTAAGCCATTGATACTTTCAAGTATTATTAGCCAGATCATCGGGAGGTATGTGATCTAGAAACGAGGCACAGGGCAATGAATTGGTTGTACGAAACAACTTTTCTGGCTCTAGATGTTCTCAGCGATAAGATTGCAAAGATTGGAAAAGTAATCACGGCATGCACTGTTTATGAGATAAAGTTAACTGATTAAATTGGTGGATTAATAGTTTATCGTGTGATTTAAATTATTAAGTTATGAACGGGAGCTTTGCTTTTAGCCCTGGCTAAATCTATATGTTAGATTTTATTTTGACTAAGTCTCAGTAAAAAACACGATTTATAGGCCTACAGGACGTTTTATACCAAGTGTTTTTAAAAGAACTGACTGTTTGTTTCGACCAAGTTTCTGCTATTGATGCCCTGTCGTCCTTCATTACGTCCAAATAAACTAAGAAATCATTATCTAAATACTAGGAAAAACACTTAGCCTAAGCAGATAATTGATGGAAAGAGTGCTAAGTGAACGGGTTTATGATTTAATAAAAATGGGAAGATAGTGTCAAAATCCCTAAAGGCATTTAAATATCACTTTCCAGTGACTTTACCCTTTTTAAAGGACACCTTTTGTTGAACTGGGCATACTTATCGAAAGCCTACAATAAAGTTAAAACATCTACTATGCAGTCAGTGATATTTTCTAACGGAGCGGATGCAACAAGGCATTCCAATCAGGTAGGAGTTTAGCGTTCTACCGCAAAGTCCTTGGATTTTAATGAAGTTAAGGTAATTCCCTTGTTTTGCACTGCGCACCCTCTACTGCACATAACATTTCGACATCCAAGATGGCTGAGGTTCTTCCCACCAGCAGGAAAAGAACAAACAAGGGCCGCTTTTGCAGAGCTAAAGCTTTTATTCGCAACAATGATGCCGCACATCGGCTGACAGCTTCCTGGTTTGCTATCGAAAAACAAGAAAATGAAAGAAATGTGCGTGATCTGCAGTGGTTTTTCACTTCGCGGACGTCGAGTTGTGGGATTATGAAAATGTCCTGGCTGAGGCTTTGGATTATGGGGGCTGTGAAGCCTGTGGGACAGCTCTACGAGCTCTCGAGCCAGTATCTGGCCTGGGATCGCTACTGTACATATGTTGTTCAAACTCCGAGCGTCGAGAGACGAATATGTCTGGAACAAATAAGACCCATCGTAGCACCAGAACCTCGCGAGGGAGACCAGTCTTTGATGTAAACTCGAAGTTTAATGCTGAATTCTCATTTTGCTGTGTATAGAAACCAAACAAGCGAACATATGAAGAATAGGAATCAATCTTCTTTTCTTCAAGTTTCTTTGTCAAGCATTATTGTGCAAAAGCAAAAACATCGAACCCTAGCTTACTGGAATTAAACAGAACGCCGGCGCTATAAAATAGTCAAAATAAAGATTCACAACTCCAAAATCTCATCAAATCTTGACTTACCTCATTCCTTGATATTTAATGTACTCTTTTCAAGTTTGAATTTCTGTGTTGGCGATATCAAACACATAAACACAACCGAAAACAAGCTTGATCTCGAATGCATACTTCAAACAGGATGGACGTTATTTTGTATCTCGCCCCAGTCCCCGCCGCGCAAATTATCCATCCTGACTGCGATCTGAAAACCATATCCACCTTTCACAGCAGTTTGTGAGGAAACAAGCCCGGTGACCCTCGATTTTTTTCCCACGTATTTGCTAAGAACAGTTTAATAAAGAACATTTTTGAAGAAGAAAAAAGGTTTGACAGTAGAACATTATTTTTGGGGGGAAAATAGTTTGGTATTTGGTGTATTTGGGTCAAGGCGAGGACTTCACGCTAACTACGGAACTGTCCGAGAAAGTGCAATATCCCCAAAACCAGGCAATCAAAAACGAATTAAATGAAGCAATACTGCTTATTTGAATAAAAGAAGCTTTATGTTCAAGATAAAATTTTGTGTGTTCAAGTAACAAGGACTTAATTCTGTAAGAAGGGTATTCGAATTTTTAACGCTCAACCAATAAAAATACCCTAGTTTAAGAGCCTGCTGACGCGTAAACAAGCGCGGTGACCCCATCTTTTTATTGCATTTTTTAATGTTCATATCATGAATATTGATTATGCCAAGTTTCAAAAAAAGTTTGATAGTAGAACAATTTCAAGGGAATTACCTTAAATTGGTATTCGATATTCGATCGCAAAGGAACACAGAAGCATAAATGCACATTTTACTCGACCTGAAATTGAACACAGGCGTGTTTGCACAGACGGTAGTTTTAACTCCATTTTACAAGTAAAAAAACAAAAGAGTATTCAGAAGTATTTAATGAAAAGGATGAATACGAACATTGATGTTATGTTACAATTTACCATTTTCTAGATTACTTCTCACTTTTCCTTTTGGATTCCTACCTTTTTAGGTTTTACTGTTAGTGCGACCAGTCTTCCCAAATATTTTTGGTAATTGCAACTGACAGATATGCCTCCAGATTACGTGTACAATGTTTGAGCTTTTAAATCTGCAAGTTTTTTTTCTGATTTCTAGCGTTTTGCAACGACTCAGCCGCGATTTACTGATGTTTGTTTGTGTTTTCTACAAGAATTTCCTTACATTAGCTTCGCATATCCTCGATGTCGGAGAATACGAATATCGTCTATTAGATCCAATTAGTTAGAAAATATGCCCTTATTGTTGCATATCTCATTTTTAGCCATTCCCATGCTAATTAACCAAAAAAAACCAGTCCAAAAAAGAGGAATTGGTGAAAAATGCGTTTTTCCGCTACTCGCTGGATTGAACTTAAGTTTCACTGTCTGAAAAGAAAGCTGCGTCCAATATCTTCAGGTTGTCCCCAAATTATTATAGTTTTATCTCTTATCAACTTCTATAAATGATAACTTTAACGACCAAAAATACCACACTACAGACCTGGACCCAGTTGTTCAAAAGGCAGATTACGAGACGAATCTCTATCCTGTGGATAACGCAGAAGGTTTTCTCTAACAGGATAGTGATGTACCCGTTAGAAAGCTCTCTCCGACGATTGAACAACTGATGTAGTGCTAATGTGCTTGTGATAAACATTCAGCAGCACATGTCCATATATGGTAGTACAGTTGGTAATAAAGTATGTTATTGAAAAAGAGAGCAGGAAGCTAGCCACTTTTTTAAAACGTTAACTTATAATTACTTTATTTTCACAGCGTTCATCTTCCTGTGTCTGCGGCCAGACAATTGCTCTTTGTCTGTGTGCTGTGCGATGTTGAAATTGGTGGGCTGGATTTCATGGTGAACGGACGATTAATAACTACTGCAAACATTTCAGTGACTAGTGGAATTCCAAAAGGTATAAAATTGTATTTGTCATTTTTTGCTTTCCTGTTTTTACCTTGTGAAAGTAGTCCGCACTTTGCTGAATAAAAAAGGCCGTTGAAGTTCATGACAATAGCCAGGATTTAACAGGAGGGAGAGAAGGAAGACGCCTGGGGATTTCAAGGTACAAGCAATGGGAAACGAATAGATAATTAGTAAGAAGGTAGGGAGAGAGAAGTGCTGTACTGCCTTACATCGCTTTTATAGGCCCTGTCATGTAAGCTAACGTAGGATTTTTTTGCCATTATTACTATATTTTTATATAGGAAGTCAACTTGTTTTTGGAAAGGTCCTCGCAGAAAGGGCATTACGTGGCCGGTTCTGGGAAGTTAATGTTTGGAATTCAATTTTGCACAAAAGTTCTATCGTCTCCATTTTTCGTGGAAATGTTAAGGCAAGCGGAAGCGCCGTCTCCTGGAAAGAACTGAGAAAGGCCATTCCAGCAAATTTGAAGGGGACGGTCCAAGGGGAACAGCAGTCGATTAATCAAGGTAATGAATAGCATTGAGGTACAGAAATCAGGTCAAATAAAAAAGACAAAAGCCAAATCAGTGGGAGCCAGGCAGAGAGCAGAAAAAAACATAAAAGTCACTTTTCGCCCCACTTCACGCTCGTATTGGCTTGATCTAATGCTAAAATCTTTACCAAAATATACTGTGTATGCGGATAAAAGCCACTAGCTTTTTTGTTGTTTCCAGATTTGGCTCCCTCTGGCAGCTCGACACGTTTTAGATTAACATTGCGTTTTGCTCTGACATTAACGTACTGAGGTGACTCAGTACAGTTTTTCTGAGACATAGTTGATTGCGCTAAGAAATCTCGAAAAATGTAACTTCTGATGAGTGAGTGACATGGGATCGAATAAGTCTAAAATTATTAATAGAGGGGCGCGAAAAAAAGATTCATTAAAGAGCATTTACTATAGGCTTTTAGCGGAAGGTTTTGTTATTAGTTTGGACTGTCTTCTCGCCGCTTTGCCGGTTTTTCTTCTACGTTTCTGGTTTATTTATTTTTCATTTGGTATGGTATAACACGTGCACGCTCAAGGTTTTTTAATCAATGATTTGTGTTTTCAAATTTGCGTCCTCCGCTGATTTGATTGGCGCATTTGGCACCAAGTATCTAATGCAACTGACTACTTTTACCGTGCTTTGTTTACCTTCGTAATACTTCCTGTCAGTTTAATGGGACCACGTTGTGAATAGCAACTGGTATAGGGTGCAATAGCGGAATAGTACGCATTTTACACAGCGTAGTAACAATCTATCATGGCAGTTATATGTTTGCAAAAGCAACCAACGTTTATAGCGGAGCTCTCGCACGCGAGGCGCGCCAGCGGAGCACCATGGGTAAGAAAATGTGGTAAACTACCCATTCGAGAACATTTGGTAATCACGTGACCGTACACCGACCGATCGCCCTCCGTCCGCACCACAGGCATACCAATGTAAAATAACTCAATCAACAGGTATGGCAACCCAAATGCAACTCGAGTTATTTTGGCGGGAAATAGCATAGCCAACCGCGTCTTTTAAAGCAGAGACAACTAAAGAGTCAATAAAGACGAAAACGAAAAGCGGAAAATGTTTCTGTATCCTTGTTGTCTAAAGTATTAAGCTTAGATTAATTGTCATGTCCAGAAATTTGGAATATAGAACAAGAGAAAGACAGAGAAAAAGAGAAAGTAGGCCGCAGGAAAGCGAAGCTCAACGAGAAAAAGGGCGACAGAGATCTAGGGCGAGAGATAAAAGAAAAACAAAAGAGACATTTTTTTGTTGGAAGATCAACTTAAAACTTTGTAGCGGCGGTGACAAAACTAGAAATACTAGCGGCCACCAATGCAAGGTGAAAATTAGCGGCAGAGAAAAAAAAAGGGAACGAGAACACCTACGACATCTCCTCCAAAAAACGTGTAACTAAGAAGTTTCTGGAAGTTTTACGTTGTAGTCGTGCAAAACAACGGCAAAGAAATGTACAAAAAAAGCGTGCTGCACGTGCAAAATCAAAAAGTTGCTTTTTTGCTAATTAGACCTATTGTTGTTTTTCACCGTTCTCCGGCGTTGCCTTCGCCGCCTAGCGTTACAAGATTTTATATTTTGTTTGAACAAACTTTAAATATTACTGAGAGCTTCGCTTTTAGCCCTGGCTAAATCTATATATCAGTTCTTCCACTCTTAACTGTCAATCTTATATCATTTTTACAATGTTAAGTATTCATATTTGCCATCGCATAAGATGACTATTCTAATCTGAGTCTGCTTCGTGTTAATTTGATATAATCGAGGATTTGAACACCTGTCGGAGGGAACAAGATGTTGGCTCGATTATGCCTGATCAACTTCTCCGGGATCATTTGCTGACAGGTACAAGATATGCCAAGATTCGCACGAAATTCTGACCAGTCTCTCAGACTAGATTGGAACACTAAAGCTTGACCAAAAGCGTGACCAAGCTAAAAGCGATGCCTTAAAAATCTAATTTTTGAAATTTTTATCTTATTAAGTCAACTTTTGGAAACATCAGGCTTTAAGGGAGACACTCCATGAGCAAGCTTTTCGTCAAGACAAACGCTTTCTTTATGTTAGGGATTCCCTTACCTCTTACAGAGTCTCCTCTTCCTTTCTCCTTGTCTCCGTACGAATGACATCGTCAACAAATTTTTGCGCATCTCTAGGTTTCGAGTTGCTAAAGTAATGGAGCTTGCAAGCTCCGCTATTAAGAATTGCTTTATTTAATTTATTTTTCTTGATAACAGAAGATGACTTCATGCTTGAATTCAAGACGCGATCCACCCGTAACTTTGCAAATTACACTCTTCCTATCAACGGCAAGTTTGTTGATTTTACCGTCTGTGCGTGGCTTAAAACCAAAGAACAAGGAACAATTTTTCAGTATTCCAACATGGATCCTAGAGGAAAAGTCATAGATGTTTTCATTACAGAGGAAGGAAATGCAATATTCACCATTAACGGAACAGTTAGTCAGTAAGTATATCTTAACGTCTACTAAGAGCCGAACTTTAACAACTTCATAAATAAGCTGTACCTAAATAAGTAAAATGACATTTTACTTTTTTGATGATGGCTAAGCCAATCAGAGCTCTAGAATTGCATTAACCAAAGATTCCGTTTTTAATTAACGACAAGGACTCATTCATGCATTGATTTCATGGATAGGGTACTATCTACCATGTGTTCAACTTTAAAAAATTGTCATTCTTTAACTGATTTTGAAATGTTGCAACTAAAAAATGATAATTGTATTGTAAAATAATGTCACAATAATGTCATTGTCTGAATGATGGTTGGTAAATGTTGATTCTTGCTCTAACTATTCAGATCAATCAAGCCTTTATATTATTAACAAAGGCATGCCTGGAATAAACCCAAAGCGACTTTTGATATTAAATAATAAATTTATGATTGCTACATTCTTCTTTCAATTTGCATTGTATGTACTTGATAATAAAATAATAATAATTGTTTTTAGCTATCATAATTATTTTAATATTATACAGGATAATAGAGTGACTTTACTTGACACGTGAAACAGATTTACAACTAGTGCAAAATATATTCTATGTACGAGTAAAAAAAGAAGACACTGGACTTACTGAATAATACAACATAATATTCTACAACCTACAATGCAAAGTAAAATCATAATAGATATTATAAAACAACTAAGATAGTTCGCGCGCTCTGATTGGCCGAGAGGAGTGTTTGCGTGAGAGTATGTAAACATGGTTGTGACGTAAAGATGTTTTGCTTTTCGCGCGCTAATCAACTCAACAAGTTTACTTCATTTACCCATTCCCTTGTCGGCTGAAACTTGGAAAATCTTTTCAAAACATGCAGTGTCAATTTTTTTTTTCGTTTAAGCTGACGTTTTAAGCGACAAAAATACATATTTTGAAAAGCCTCTTTTTTGCAAAACAAGAACTGATTTTGTGTACAAGACCTCACGACTATGAAGTGAAGACACTCTGTACAGTGGCTGTTGACATAAATGTGTTACAATACTTATTAGACATAGTTCCACCACTAGTACTGTTCCGTCTGTACATGTTTATTCAAAACAATTATTGTGGATGCAAACGTACCGGCAGAACAGTAAAACGTGGTAGAACCATTTGCTACTTTTCATGTACACTTGTTTGCAATAATCTCTCTTCATGTGAATAGAATATCCTTGTCTTTAGACTCACAGGTGTAGAAACAGGTTAACATGTACCAGTACGTGTATAATGTCCCATTTTTTCTTATATGTCAACAGACGTTTTCATGCTAAAGAACAATTTCTGTACAGTGTCGTTCAAAAGTAACACTAAATCTTCAGTGATTCTCATAAAAATCACATGTATGTATTCGATTCATACTTGTTGATTTTATACAAATCGATAGTTTCACCGTCCGTTTTGCATTTCCTCCTTTTATTCAACAGGCATGATCTGTAACATGAAACGTGATCTATGATGTCAAAAAAATGTTTCGTAGAAAACAACAAAGCGACTAGTGTCATGCATGATCTCAAAAGATCGGATGAATTATCAGGAATTACAGGAAAATAAAAAGGTTTTTTCTGGGTTTTGTGGCTCACAGCCACTTTGATTTTTAAAGTGAGCCTGCATTGGGTCGGAAGACCAAAAAAGTGGTTTTCTAGTCCAAAATGTCCAATTGAGCTACAATTCTCTTAACCGTCCCCCCCCCCCCCCCTCCTATCTGATGTGTTCTTGTTGTTTTTTCTTTTTTATTCTTTTGTCTTATTTTTTTTTTTTTTTTTTGTTCTTTTTCTTGTCTTTCTTTACACTTTTGTCTCCTTCGTCTTTTCTTTCATCCCCTTTCTTTTCATTCTTTTCACTGTTTTTCTGCTTTGTTTCATTGTCATATTTTTCTGTTTTAGTGTCAGCTGTACTAATAAAAATATTGCGTTGATTTTAAGAAAATTCAGGAAAAAAAAAAAGTTTTTTTTGGGGTTTTTGGGTCCCCGCCACTTTTTTTTTTTTAAAAGGAGGTGTCTTTGGGGGGAGAAACAAAAAAATGGTTTTTTCTCCCAAAAATTCCCAATTGGGCAAAAATTTTTTTACCCCCCCCCCCCCCCCCCCCGGTAATGTGAGAGGTTTTCTTTTAGCTTTTAAGGTTTTTTACTGTAACCTAAGTATGATTATTTCTTTTAGGCCGGTTACGAATTTAAACTTAACGGACGGTCAGTGGAATCACATTTGCCTTGTAAGACGTGGGTTTCGTACAAGATTCATTCTCAATGGCATATCAGTTTACAATTTGATTGCGGAAACAGGTGAAACACGCTCTGGAGGAACCTTTATTATTGGACAAGACTTAAACGAAGCTGACGGTAGCTTCAATGAAATTCGAGCTTTTGTGGGAATTATTTCACAGGTCAACATGTGGTCAAAAGGTTTTGATGATAACATCATTACTTCTTTATCACGTGCTTGCTGGGAAATTCCAGGGGATGGTGTAAAGTGGAGTGGATTTATTAATGGCGTCAATGGAGACATTCAGCGTTTGAACACTTCTGAATGCCGTATGCCTGGTAAGCCCAGTAGCACCTAATGATAAAATTATTTAAAATTATTTACTGAAGGTAACCACTGGGAATAATCTGGAAACTACCGGTGAATAATTCGACGAAATTGATACTTTCGGTACAAATTTTAGCGATTTTTGTTGGATCAGCGTAGTGAAGTTACGGAGAATACCAGACATTGTAAGAACGCACAGCTATTATCCTTTGATACTGATCAGTTCAAAAGAAAGGGCTTATGTATTTTAGTTTATATCCCTGTGACTTAGCTGAAAAAGTACTGCGTCGTAGCTCCCATTCATACAAACTTTTTACTGGTAACTTTGCTCAAATCCACAAATTTAGTTCACCGTCTGAAGATTTCTTTCCGCTGCGTTAAAGAGTAAATAAAAAGCTGTCTTTGTATAAAATAAAACAAATAACGGAAAAAATTCTGATAAGCTACGTGGCACTTTAGAAAGTTGAAAATATACCGAACTTTGTACCGAAAGTATAAATTAGCCGCTTAATAGAAGCCAAGAGACTGATAATTACATTTTTCTCTGTGCATGCTTTTAATGCAGATGTTACTGTTCTGTCTCGACGTGATCACAGATGTAATGAGAAACACGTCATCAATTCAACCTCCTGTACCGGATCAGTGAGAGCCTTGTTCGACAGAGTAAACTCAACTTCTGGTAAAATGTGGCGGTGTTACCACGCATGCTCCATCATGAAATCCTCCAAACATGGTGGGGACATTTTCAACCCAGATTCTGGCATGGACAACTGCGTGACAAACGCTCACGAAGAACTGCTGACCATAACATATTAACAATTTTTCCATCTTGAGCTGAAAACGGCTTGGTGGACAGTTTAGCCTTCAAGAGATAATTCTACTTATTTGCCTTAATTGAACTATTTTGTGTCAGATTCAATACAGTCGAACCTCTCGGTACGGACACCTCTCTATTACGGACAGCTTCCAAGTCCCGACAAAATTCTCACATGTTTTCTTTAAAGAAACCTCTATAATACGGACTCTCTCTAATACGGACAACGTACCCTAAATCCCACCCCAGAGAGTAAATTCATATAAACTTAACCTCTTTATTACGGACACTGCGGTAATCAGGTGAATCCCGAATCCCGATCAGGTAAATCTGCACAGGATGAATCCCGTCTAGTCTGGCTGATGAGCTATGCAAGGTGATTTAAAGCCCAGTAGCTGCATACCAAACAACGATTTGCGAAAGGTGTATAGAGGAACATAACCGACTTTTTGAAGGCTTCATTAACTAAGGATAGCATAAAGATCTTTTCTATTACATGTTGTACTCTAGGTACTTTTTACTGCACTTGCGAAATCGCGAAAGGCGCTTTCAGAATTGTGCTTTACGTTACAACTTTTTACATGCAGCATTGCGCTTAGCTCGTTTCGTTTTAAAAAAGTAGTTTGTCTGCAGCTGAGCTAAACAATGTTTATATGCTACTAAAAGACAGGGTCTTTGTACCGTGAATTAATAACTTAAAATGCAGTTTAAAGACGAGTGTGAACCTGGTTTTAACTACTGAAAAATTAAAACTGTAAGTGGAGTCATAAAAGTGTCGTCATCATAGTGACCCCTTTTATACGGACACCTCTCAAAAACGGACACTTCGCTCTGTCCCTTCGGTGTCCGTATTAGAGAGGTTCGACTGTAAATTGTGTGGAGAATGCGTTGTAGTGTTTCAGGCCTCATTTTATTAATACGAATAGTTTATGCTAAATCTGTACGTAACTTATTTCCAGAGATTTCCGAAAGGTAAAGAACGCTATCGTCTTGAATAACGTTTTAGGACCTTATTTGTGGTTGTAAGACAACCGAGCTAACCTGGTTAGCTGGAATCCCGGTTTAGTGATGTCAGGATCGATGGTGACTGGCCTGGAAGTTCCAGGTAATCGCGCATTCCAGACCAGCCCTACGAACCAAACCAGCAACAAGGCAGCAGATAACACAATGTTCATGAGCTCTGCTTTCAATCTCTATGTAAAAACGGCAGCTCCGAGCTGGCTAGCTTAATACCGGGATGAAAGTTAGCACGGCACAGCGAGCCAGCCTTGCCGAAGGCAGCAACCCGCGATAGCAGCCTAGCCGGCTGGCTTGTCTCAAGTAATCATCCCCTTCCCTTAGCCAATTGTTTCGTTTCGTTCAATTTATAATAATGCCGATTGCTAATCTGTGATTGTATGATTACCTAAGCAATTTTGTGTGAGATGTCTCACAGTTGTTAAAGTGTTTGTAAATTAAACCGAAATATCATCATTATTTCTGTTCAGATTTCTTGTGTTATTCAAATATTATGGAACAAGATCTTCTCATAAGCAGTTTCACTCTATACTTTCTCCAGGCCAGTCATAGACGAGAATTGCTGCCAAAAGAACGCATGTTTGTTTAACTGCACTGTATGTTCGACTTAGGAACGAACTGAATGGACGTAGCTTGCAGTTCCATTCACACTCACAATAGCGGGTATTACTATTCGTTTCTTCACAACTTGTAAACTGCACCATAAGCATTCTGCAAAAGTTCCCAACCAGTGTTGTAAATAAACCCTGAAAAGCCTTTGGGAAGTGAATAATAAGATATTTACAATTTACAAATGCGAGGCACGAAGTCTCCGTAATTCATATCAAGTCAACGTCAACGCACGCCCCGTTCGTCTCCCCGAATAGACTGTACTCTCAGGATCGGGGAAGGGAGACTATAAGGGAGAGACAGAGAATCCCAGACGGGCACCATGCGTTTGTCTAAGCGAAACGCAAACCAACAGCTAGAGGCAATCGATGATTGTAGTTTCTTGTGTTTGAATTACGACAAAACCTTTCAAAGCAATTATTTTAAGGCTTTTAGCAAGGTCACGCTCAAGCTCAGATTAGGCAATTCATACGTAAATATTTTTGTAGCGTCTGAAAGAGTTTTTAGCATCATCTAAAGCTTTGTATAATTTTGCATGTTCAATTTTTTCAAGATTTGGTACAATTTGACATTTTTGAACATTTTTTCTGGTTGACTGATGGTAAGAATAAGTTCTAAGAAAAACTCAGTTGTTTTGTTGATTGTAAAAAGATAGCTTCAAACGAAAGTCTTGCTTCGAGGTACTTTCATCCCAAAAGGCCATTCAAAATGCGAAGCCGGCTGAATAATAACAAACACAAGGAAAACAAGGATTTTAGAGTATTTTTAGAAACATTTCACTGGCACTAACTGCCCTCTTAAATAAAAACGGTTGTTATTATACATGTTTCATTTCCCAATATTTATCCGTGCGTTGATTGCCAGTCAATAATTTTGCATCACTGTTCCGTTTTTTTTCCCTGGACTGATGCCGTTGTATCTGCGTCTCTGATTCGGTGTTTACACTGCAATCCATCCTCCCTCTCCCTAAATATATCTATGTAAAAGAGTTGTCTTTTATTGACCTTCATTCTACTGAAAGACACGTAATTTTGTCAAATAACTTAAGCTAGCCTTTTGGAAAAAGTTTAAAGTTGTTGTAATGTTATTTGCAGTGCCAGGTGTAAGTCTACCGGACGCTTCGCCCAGAATCTAGAATGCGCTGCACAACACGTGCATAAGTACCCACAGTTTTTGTAGACTGTAGTATCATGGTCTTTTTCGTGGGGGAAAAAAGTTATTTACAGTCTTATTATTATCAGGATATTGGAGGAAGCTTCGCGTTTTAGGCTTGGCTAGATCGTAACATTTTTTAAATTTGCTGAGTCGCAGAAAGGCCGTAATGAGTAACGCGGATGGACTTTCAAGTCAAATCATGTTGCAATAAGGTATAAGAACAAAAGAAGTAACAGACTTAAAGAATGAAGGTAAACTGTCCCTTTAGATACTTGCTGCAACAACTCTGCTGTTGGAAATTCGACCAAGCAGGGCTCCTGAATCTCTTCTACAGAAGCAGACGATGATGAATCTACATTTTTTAAAAGAAAGAAGAAGCATTATATTTTAAGGTACATGTAACTCGCTGGTTCGCTTCCTCCTTTCGTTACTGCGCTATACATTCACCTACAGAAGAAAATTTATCCACAACCGCGTGCAGTATATAGAGAATACTTCATGGAAAGTGCTGGCGTGCGGTATTTACGCACGAGTTGTTGACGTATTAGAAATCGAACGAGTGAGCGCAGCGAACGAGTAAGATTTCTGATACAAGAACAACGAGTGCGTAAATACCGTACAAAGCACTTTCCATGTGGTATTGTGTTTATTATGTACATACTGAGACATTCATCATTTTGGCGGCCTTTTTATTTTAAATCTTTCAAAAATGCTAAAACTTGCCGCTACACACTTACCGCAAAATGACAACGAAAATGACGTATCAGCTTTTTAGTAAAAACGTTTGTTAAAAACATAAATGACGGTGAGGATATGAGGTAATCCAAGAACTATAAGTAATCTTAACTGTTTGTTCTAAATGCACAATTGAAAATGAGCGAATTTAAGTAAAATGGCCGGTTTCAATATAAGCTTAAGCTTGAATGAAAGGCAAAGTAGCCACGACAAAAAGCACAACAAAAGCTTACGTCTCGTTCTGTTTATCCCTTTCCGCTGTTGTTTCACCGGCTCTCTACCGTTTTCTTTATCGACAGTGAAACAAACGAAACTATTCCACTCCATTTCCGAAATGTTTTTCACTTTTTTAGCGAGACAAACTCTTTGAGTAAAACTTTTCTCGTTGAATGTGTGCGAAGCGGTCCTGCAAGCTGCAATAAAAGGCGGGAATTTTCGCGCGAAACTCACACAACTCCTGTGGCTTCTGATTGGACGTATCATTTTTCTCACACGTGGAAAAAAATCGTTCGCGATTCTGATTGGACGTATCATTTTTTTCACGTGTGAAAACCATCGTTCGCTCCTCTGATTGGCTTGAACTAATTTGCGTACGAAAATTTACGACATAGCTTTTTGGTGAGTATTTCTCAGTATGTATATAATAAAAATGTGGTTCAAATGTGTCCCCTCTTTGCAAAAGTCTCTTTTTGATTCCCCAAAATATTCATATCAAACGAAGAAGTAAAACAATGGTTAGCATCAGCTTGGCATCGACGTCCATATATTGTCTGAACGGGCCCTTAATCTAAAGCATAGATTTAGCCTGCGCTTACGGTAACGCCAGTCTAAAGACCTATAAGTATCTAAAGTATTTCAAATTTTATTCACGGCCCAAAATATTGGGATACTAAGTAGAATTCAGTTTAGGTTTTCTCATGTAGACAGTGAATTTTTTTTTATTTTATTTGCATACTGATAAATACGTTGTATCGCGCTGCGCGTTTAGCAAACTTTGAAGGAATTTGGAAATTTTCTGTTCCCTCAATCATCTTAGCAGACCTTTTAGGAAACACATGTTTTCTTAAACGAGTTTAAAAGGTCATGGTTTGTAATTTTTGATCAGTGGATTTCGATCCCTTTGGTTTGGTTCTGTGTTTCAAGGTTCGTTGCTTGAGATCGTCCAGTTTCGGGCTATAATCGACTATTTCGCTTCGAAAATTTTTTGGTCTTTCTTATTTTTTGTCACTTGCAAGAAAAAAGCAATGTCTGCCTCCTTCCCTTCACCATCGCGATTTCCTTCGCCGCTATCACTTTTGTTCTTGCGGGCCATGCTGGGCAATAAAAGCGCGTTCAAATATTGTGATTTGCATTAACCCCGTCCCCACTCAAATGATTGGTGGAACAGAAAAAGCCGAAAGTCCTTCGAATTTGCAAAACGGGCAGTGAGATACAACGAATTTGGTAGTAATAATAGCATGTTAGCAGAATATTGCATCTCTGCTAA